AGCAGCTCTGTGAGGTGGAGTGATAATTAATGCACTCAGCACCTAAGGTGAGAAGGAACTGATGGATGCCAAGCAGGAAAACCTCAGTCTTGTCAACATTGAACTGTAGAAAGTTAGAACTCATCTAAGATGTAACATTCACCCACAAATATATGGTCAATTCACTTTATAGTATATTTTGTGAAGCGCTTTGAGACGTCGAGAAGATGTGAAAAGTGCTATATCAAATGCAAGGATTATTATTAATATTATCTAACAAGAGCTGAGAACAGGAGAGGACTGCGATTGTATGTTTCTTCTCTTTTTCTCTTCCCCTTTTTCAATCTGCACAAGAAAAACATCTGTTGCCTGCCCTTGTCTATGATATTTTAATGATATCAAATCCAATGGGCTCACACTCTTTCTTGCTTAATGTTATAATCTACCATTGAGGGACGAGGGAAGAAAGTAGGGAAGATCTCCCAGTTGCTAGAAATGGATACATTTTAAATGAGCTTCTACGTTTGGATTTATATATACAGTTACATCTGTTTCTCCATATAACCTAAAACTAATTGCTCTATAAAGGTGATATGATTGCTGCTTGTGTCAATGTAAGTGCAATTCAAATCAAAACTTAAGAACATGTTCAGGTTCTGCATAAACCTTTTTCATTTTGCTCTTGCTTTAACACCAATCTGTTAACTCAGATGCACAATTTTTGTTTTGAGCTACATGTTCCTGTTGCAATTCTTGTTGCATTGAGCAATAATCTAAGCCTTCCTATAAGCGGGCTTCTAACGTGACGAAATTGTGAGGACGTGTTAATGATGCAATCCTAAAAATCGGTGATCAAATCATGTTTAACTTGCTTACAAGTCCATGAGTTTGGCAAATTAGTAGAATCTATTATCAGGAACAGAACAGCTGAACATCTAGATAAATATGCATAGATCAGGCAGAGTCCTACTTACCTAATGCCAGAGAATCGTAAATTGGCAAGAGCCAAGGCTTGGGGACCCCAGAGATTGCATTGGGGGTACTTTTGTAGTTTAAGGTAGAAATGGAGTGTGAGCCTAGATTATACTGTTTGACAGATATTTTGGGGTGAGCAAGACACTAAAGGTTCTGCACGTGTTCTGTGAGAATGTAACTAGGTAATTTCTAACTTGTGAGGATAATCGACTCTTTAAACCCTACATCCAAGCTCTCACTTGTGCAGAGTTTACTCACCTCTGCAACACCGCCTGCCTCTGCCAGTACCCCTCTGTTGGGCTGCCAAGATTCTTATTCACTTCCAGGCTCAACTATTTGAATGCTCTCCTTACCAGACCTCCCAGTTCCTCTCTTCACAAACTGCAACTCATCTAGAACGCTGCAGGAATATCCATTCCCACAACAGGTTCCATGAGCCCTTCAATCCCATCCTCATTTGGACCACTGACTCTCAACATCCTCCAGGGATCAAATTCAAGATTCTTATGTTCACTTTAAACTGCCTGTGTCACCATGCCCACCCTACCTTGTCCACTTCTGTGACCTCCTGGTTCCCTATGTTCCAGGTCTAATTCTGCTCCGCAAACACTGCCTCCTTCATATTCTCTAGGTGAACTTTTAGCCGTTGTCCTCCCATTCTCAGGAACTCCATCCTGGAGTTTCACTCTAAAATTATATTAAAATATGTTATTAAGCAATTAAGGGCTCTGAGACCCTACTCGTGTGAAGGGAACTATATGAATGCAAGTTGTTGTATTAGGAAAGGACATTGGGAAATTGTTGCATTTTCTAACCTTGTAATAACAACAACTTGGATTTATATAGCGCCCTCCACGCCGGACGGCGTCTCAGAGCGCTTCACAGTAACGGTTCCCAGGGCCGAGCCGGGGGGATGGGAAGGAAGGTGACCAAAGCTGTGGTCGAAAAGAAAGGTCTTCAGTCGAGACCTGAAAATAGTAAGAGAGGAGGCGAGGTGAAGGGAGTGAGGAAGGCAGTTCCAGAGCCTCGGGGCATAGTGGCTGAAGGCACGGCCACCGAGGGTGGAGCGGAGGGCTCGGGGGACGAGGAGGCCAGATCCGGTAGAACGAAGGCAGTGGGCATTGTTGTGAGGCGAGACGAGGTCAGAGAGGTAGGGAGGTGCAGAAGAGTGGAGGGATTTGAAGACTAGGGTGAGGATCTTGAAGTCGATCCTCTCTGGGACAGGCAGCCAATGCAGTCTGTCAAGGACTGGGGTAATCGGGGAGTGGAGTTTGGTGCGGATAAGAATGCAGGCGGCAGAATTTTGTATGACCTGGATTTTGTGAATGGTAGTGGAGGGGAGACCGGCGAGGGGAGTATTTGAATAGTCCAGCCGAGAGGTGACAAAGGCATGGACCAGGGTTTCAGCGGCTTTTGGAGTGAGGTATTGGTGGAGACGGGCGATGCATCAGAGGTGGAAGAAAGCGGCCCTGGTGAGGGACCGGACGTGGGGGAGGAAGGATAATTGGGGATCGAACCTGACGAAAGGTTGCGTTATCACCAATCATTATCACCAATGATGATTATCACACTACATACCTCATTATGTCCCTTCAATTTTTGATTAACAGAATTTTTTAAGTGTCTCAGCAGGTAAACCTCAGTGCAAGTATTTCCCATAGGGTTATGTTTTAGTTACTATATTTTTGTAAAGTCTGTTTTATATACATACATTAGCTGACAAAATTTAAAATAAACATTCCTTTTTTTCATTTGCTTGGTAAAAATGGTAATGAACTGAAGCAAAATTGAAGTAATTTTTTTGGAAGCAAGTGACTATTCATGCACACATTATTGTTTTACCTGGATAAATATCTTTGTTTTGATCTCCAAAGTAAATACAATGCATTGCAATCAGTCTCTAGGCCTCTGCTTGCAAGTCTCGCTTCAGTGAGCTCATAAGAACATTCTAGTGCTAACTTGCTCATGTTACCAAGTGGAAAAATGCTCATCTTAAGCCTTCACTGTGATACGATTTCTCAGTCTAAGCATGGTCTTTCACATTTAGAAACCATTTAATTGAGTAAAATGGCTTAAGATATTTACTGTAGTTTGTTTCCAATTAACTTAGTTCACTCCACCACCAACAACAACAAAATTACATTTGTATAGTGTGTTTCACATCGGGAGGATGTCCCGGGGCGCTGGATAATCAGAGTTTCAGACCTGAGCTGGGGGTCAGGATCGGGGAGTGTGGAGGGCACGGGGGGGGGAAGGAGGACCGAAGGCACAGTCGAAGAGGTTGGTCTTGAGACGGGTCTTAAAGGGGGAGAGGTGAAGGGACTGTGTGATGGAGTTTCAGAGCGGGGGGGGGAAGACTGGCAGAAGGCCCGCCTGCCAATGATGGGGCAGGCGAAATGGGGGACATGAAGCAGGCCGGAGCCCCTGAATGGAGGGAGCCGGCAAGTTCGTAGGGGGTTAGGTCGCAGACTTGGGGGGGAACAAGGCCACGGAGGGCTTTGAAGATGAGGACCAGGATCTTGAACTGTATCCTCTGTGTGATGGGAAGTCAGTGGAGTCGGGCGAGGATGGGGGTGATAGGGTCGCAGAGTCTGGTGCGGAAAACGACATGGGCTGCAGAGTTCTGGATGATCTGCAGCTTGTGAAGGGAGGAATTGGGGAGGCCAACAAGCAGGAAGTTTGCATAGTCAAGCCTGGGTGTTATGAATGCATGTATGAAGGATCCGGAGGCTTGCGGTGTGAGACAGGAGCGGAGCCGGGCGATGTTATGGCGGTGGGAGAAGGGAGAGTAGGTCATGGCATGGATGTAGAGTAGAAAGGATAGATGAGAGTCAAACAAGACACCAAGATTCCGGACTGGCTTAGTAAGGTGGAGTGTGAAGTTCAAGGCTGGACTATGGGAACTCTCTCCTCTCCGGCCTTCCCGGCATCTCCCTCCCTCCACAAGCAGCAGGTCATTCAGAACTCTGCAGCTCGTGTACTGTCCCGCACCAGGCTTCACGACCACATCACTCCCACCCATCGGGCAGCTTTATGCGGATTATTGTGTTCAAACAAAAGGTTTTTGAAGCATACTGACGGTCAATTGAGAAGTTTAAAAGATAGTTAGGCATACAGTAAACTCCTGATAAATCATCACTCGAAGTGGAAAGGGCTCATCAACTAGTTCTGCACCCCCTTACCTCTCTGACCTCTCTCCTCACAGCAGTGCCCGTTGCCTTCGCTCCACTGGGTCTGGCCTCCTCCTTGTCCCCTGGGTTCTCCGCTCCTACCGTCGGCGGACGTGCCTTCAACCACTATGCTCCGAGGCTCTGGAACTCCCTTCCTCATTCCCTTTGCCTCGCCCCCTCTCTTCCCACTTTCAGATCTCGGCTGAAGACCTTTTCATCCGCAGCTTTGGTCACCTTCCTCCCCCTCCCCTGGCTCGGCCCCGGGATCCGTTATTGTGAAGTGCTCTGAGACGCTATGGTCTTGTTATCAGGAGTTTATGAATAGAGATTAGCTAAATTTTAGCTTTTTCCATAGAAGCAGAGATGATTGAGATATAATATAATCCAGGTATTTACAGTTTGAATGGGTAGACCAAAATAAATAGAGAAAATTGTTTTCCTTTATTTGGGGAATTGGTAACAATGAGCCGTGTAATCTCAGGATTGTGAGCAGACGAATCAGGGAGAGACTATCAGGAATTTCGTCCTCAGAGGATTATTCTGGTGTGGAATTCATTGATTGAAAGAGAATTGAATAAGGATCTGAGCACTAAAAACATTAAGTGGAATTAATTTAAAAGAGCATTGTTAAAAAGTAAGCGTAACATTGGCTATGATTGGCCATTTTCCTTTGCACTGAATATTTCTGTTTCTATATAAGGATATTAAAATATGAAAAAAGATGGGGAATTTGAATAAAAGAGTTGTAATAGATTTAATAGTCAAATAGGATTGATAGGCTGAATAACATGTTCCAATGTGAATATGAATATGTACCTAAAGTGGAGTCCTAATATGTTGATTACATTTTGAAATGTATAACTTTTGTCTTTGTAGGAGATGGCCATCTTGGAGTATAACTGTTGTATAAAGAGAGACAAGCACGTTGGCTAGATCTGTGCAAACAGCATCTTTGGAGCCATTGCTGAGCAAAAAGACTCACTTCCAGAATGAAGAAAATTAGCCTTAAAACAATAAGGAAATCCTTTAACTTGAATAAAAGTAAAGATGAAAGTGACTTTGTGGTGGTGCAACAGCCAGCAGTTGCCAATGAATTTGTGAAGGAGGACTCTCTTTTCAGTTGCTATGGGAAAGAATTGGCTGGCAGTGAGTTAAGCAGAGCAGAAGAAGATGAAAAAGGATCTAAGAATAAGACAAAAGGTGAAGGCTTAATGGGTACACTGAAAAGGAGACTTTCTGCTAAGCAGAAACAAAAGGGTAAAGGGAGTTCACCATCTGCCGGCTCGATGGAGGATGACACATTTTCATTCTCTTCAACACGAACAAGCATTAATGATTTGAAAGCTCAAAGGCCTTTAAGATCGACATCACTCCGGGGCCACCATTACAGTCCTACACCTTGGCCTCTGCGATCAGCCAGCTCTGAGGAGACCTGCATAAAAATGGAAGTTAAGGTCAAAGCAATGGTTCACAATAATAGTCCAAACCCGGCATTAAATGGAGTTCGTAAGGAGTTCCATGACATGCAGACAGACCATGTGTTTCAGGATCAGGGCAATGCAATCAAAGAGTCCCAGAATGGTGGTTCACATCTAAATATTAATGAAACCTGTCATGTGCCTGTAGTTATTGGATTAATGCCTCAGGACTATATTCAGTACACAATGCCTTTAGACGAGGAAATGTATCCTATTGATGGGTCCCGTAACTATTGTCTTGACAATCCCTTGCCAATGGAAGTTGCATCAGTGCCATCCCAGGTATGTACAGGTACCCTACAAATGGATGAAGGCCACATGGCCTCAGATTTAGTGGTTTCCTCTGATATCTTCTTGGATCCACCTGTAAATGGTCTTTTGATTAGAACCAATGTTCTCTTACAGAACTCAAGATCTAACCATGTTGATCTCCCACAGCTATCTCCACTGCTACCTCTAATTCCAAATGTAATGCGGTTGGCATTTCCTGGATTTAGTGGCACAGAAGCTCAAGTAGCCGAAAGGGTTCGTCATCACTTGAACTTCGATCCAACCTCTGCACCTGGTGTTGGAAGAGTTTATGATTCTGTTCAGCACAATGGTCCAATGGTAGTTACAAGTCTCACAGAAGAGCTGAAAAAACTTGCGAAGCAAGGCTGGTACTGGGGCCCGATAACGAGGTGGGAAGCAGAGGAGAAACTTACCAATGTGCCCGATGGTTCTTTTCTTGTGCGTGATAGTTCTGATGATCGATATCTTTTAAGTCTGAGTTTTCGTTCACAAGCCAAAACTCTTCACACTAGAATAGAACACTCGAATGGCAGGTTTAGTTTTTACGAGCAGCCTGATGTGGAGGGTCACACATCCATAGTAGAACTGATTGAGCACTCGATCAAGGACTCTGAAAATGGAGCATTTTGTTATTCTAGATCTCGCCTACCCGGATCTGCAACCTATCCTGTAAGACTAACAAATCCAGTGTCCCGGTTCATGCAAGTGCGTTCGCTACAGTACCTGTGCCGTTTTGTCATTCGTCAGTACACTCGAATAGATCTAATTCAGAAACTGCCTCTGCCAAACAAAATGAAGGATTATTTGCAAGAAAAGCACTACTGAAAGCTTTCAAAGTCATGAGCAGATTGCACTTTTGGAACTGGAATGCATTGGAATATTTTTTTAAAAAATATATAATTTATCAAAGACTAGCTACAAAAGCTTGTTTAGTTGCTGGTGTTCCTTCATTTTGTAATCATCGGGCTTTGCTTTTTTTGCCCCTTTCTTCTCACATCTGTTACACAGTCTATTTGCCAAATAAGATATTTTTACTGTTAAGGTACAGCACTTTCTCACTCATCTCAGTGAGTGAGACAAGTTTTGCTAAATTTTAGACTGCTAACTGCAGATTTGTGTAACTGCTAATTAGTTCTGCATCTCTACTGGCATAATCTTGATGTAAGCTTCCACTTAAATCAGTCGCCAAATGCAAGAACATAGTGTTATTTTGACATTCAATCTCATTAAGCAGACCCCAAGAATTGACGGTGAGGTAAATGGTGCCTTCTTGGTTAAAGATTGTTCAACCGCTCATTTATATTTTTTTATAAATGGATTAATATGATTTTTTGTCGCACTATCATTAAGGATGCTAAATGCTCATTATGATTTTTGGCCCTAAGATTAAGCCAAGCTGCTTCTGTGCACAGTAAATGTGCCCAGTTGAAAGAAACTTTTTTGTGGCAGGGGCAGCAGCGATATCGAGCTAAACACCTAAGCAAGCATCTGCTTAAATCTGAATTTATGATTTGGTTTATTTGGAAATGAAGCTGTCTACCTGATAAGAAAAACAGTTATTAGATATGTAGGGATCAGCAGAAGGTGCATGGGGTGCACAAACACATGCTGCTTATTTGGATAGGTTTGTCAGTATAGGTAGTTCTGCATAATCAGCAGCTGGCAGCCTGAAGTGGTTGTGACCATTTTCCTGTATACAAATCATTGTATTTCTATTTCTGACACTATTATTTAAAGAGTTCAAGCAGACTTGAGCATGACTCCAGACATCTGTGCCTTTTGGGATTGGAATTTTTTTAAAATTTATGTTTTTTTTTAAAAAAGTATAGAATTGTGCTATCCTGATTCTTTTGTGTCTTCATTTTTATTAGTGTTTGAGTTTGATTTCAAAATGCCATTTTATGATACAGCACAAATAAGATAATGTTACCATATCTGGTTTGCACAAGTTAATGTGCAGTTTGTGCTTGTTCATCCATGGACCAATTTTGTAAAGCCATTATAACAGTAATTTTGAGTGAGGGTTTAAAATTCAGTGGGGCACCACATTGCATACAGTAAATATTAAAGGATATTATTCCTGTTTTCAAGGGAATTGATGAGTCTTAGCTATGTTTCAAATTATGTTTAAAACTGTAAAATAAAAAATTCATAGGACAGCAGCATAAATTTCTATGAGGTAATATGGAATCAATGTTTACACAGTCCCTTGTTTGAATTGAGTCGTACAGATTGCAGTTTGGAAATCATGATCAAGGACTTTGAACAACATACAAGTCTATGGATCATTGTAACCAGATTTTTAAAAATGTTTAATCACAACAGAGAACTAATTTCAATATTTGGGTGACTCATTCAGCATATTATGCTGTAGTTCTTTTGTATTTCATTAGACTGATGTTTAGCAATAATTTCTTTCCCCTCCTGCCCCCTCCTGTGTTGAATTACGTTTGTGCACTTTTAGATTGTGTTCAGTTTCATTTTTGTTCTTGTATTTCCATATAGAAAACTTATGTAGTGAACAGGTAAAACAATTCCTATAAAATCATTTGTAATATTATGCAGATTGGTGCGTTATTTCTGACTATCTTCAACACTTATCGTAGAGTTTTCAGCAGTATGATACATCAATGTTCCAGTTTACCTTTTTTTATTTACTGATACAAAATAAACAGCCAAATTTTGTTACGAAAATTGAGCTGGTGGCATAATACACCAATAATTCTGAAATTACATAGTTTAAAGAGCAATTACCTTAGTCTATAATGTTTCACAAGACTATCGACAAGACCATTGTCTGATCTTACCCAGCTCGTCAGTTTGGGTATCATTTCTCTCTCAGGTTCCTCTCACTACGATACAGTATATTCCTTTCTTCTCCGGATCTTTATCCATATTTAGGGATAGCTCCCTCACAAGCCTGAGGTCCCTCCCGAATAGCCAAGTCCTCAGTTTTAGACTCTGTCAGAGGGAAAATTTGAAATTGGTTCCTACCCTCTGTGTGAACCAATTAAATCAAGCTGTTCACATTCACTCTCGTGAACTTGAGGCACTGTCCTATTGTTTCGTAATTATTTAAACACTAGCTGTACCCATTACAGGTTCGCTTGCAACCAGAGGATCCAATATGGAATGTAGATTGACACACAGACAGAGATTTTTGTTTTTATTAGCATAGATAGATTATTATATAAAATTATATACCTAAGAGGGGGAGGAGTTAAACCCCAGCCCTAGGTGAGGCCCCAACCCCAGATGAGGCTTGAACTGGAGCCCCAGGCTTCACTATCCCTGGCTAGTCGTTGCTAGACCGCGGCACGGAGGAACCCGGTAACTCCGAGCCTTACTGAGCCAACCATCACCGGCCCAACTCCGACATGGCACCGTCCAACCCAGAAACAGCAAGAAAAGCGGCTGAACAGCTGCCGTCAACACTGCTCGAGGAGACTTCCACCTCACCACCATCAGGTTTTGTCTGGGTGTGTGCTCTGTGACGCACGATGCCACAGCACCCCTGTGAGTCGGTGCGGCTATCAGGTGTAACTGCAGCGGAAAATGCAAAACTGCCATACATGTGTGATGAGCTTGTTTAGGTCATAGCTCACCAACAATAGGAGATCCCTGAAAACAATATGCCCCAGATGCAAGACCTTTCCAATGATGTACAAATCATGTCTCTTAAGTTAATCGGTTATTGAGGTCTTGGTTGATACACACACGCAGACAAAGTCATTTTATTAGTATAGAAGTTATACAAAGTAGAATGCAGAGGTGTTATACCTCTACAACAGTATTTAGTTGTACCCGGAAGGTTACTAGAGACATGATATATCTATGCAATCTGACTGAAATGAAAACAAGAAGATTACTTTTGTATAGCGCCTTTCACGTCGGGAGGACGTCCCAAGACCCTGGACAATGTACAGCATTTCAGACCGAACTGGGATCAAGGAGGGAGAAGGGAGGGGAGGGGAAGAGTGGTGACCGATGACATGGTCGAAGAGGAGGGTTTTGAGGCGGGACTTGAAGGAGCATTCGATACGGTCGACCACGCTACCCTCCTCCATCACTTGTCCTCCCACCTCAACCTTCAAGGCCCTATCCTTGAGTGCTTTAGGTCATACCTCTCCCACCGTCTTCATTTTGTTTCACAAATGGCTTTTCCTCCAGCCCCTGCACTGTCTCGTGCGGTGTCCCTCAGGGCTCTGTCCTCGGTCCCCTCCTCTTCACCCTCTATATGCTCCTCCTTGGTGATATCATCTGCAGACATGGGGTTAACTTCCACATGTATGCGGATGACACCCAACTCTACCTTTCCTCCTCTACCCTCAACTCCACGACCACCGATGTCCTGACAGTCTGCCTGTCTGACATTGAGTCCTGGACGAGAGACAACTTTCTTCAGCTCAACGTGCGTAAAACTGAGGCCCTCCTGATTGGCTCACGTCAGCGCCTCCGCACCTCAGGCGCTGACAGCATCAGCATCCAAGGCTGCACTCTCCACCTCTCAAAGCCGGTCAGGAACCTCGGTGTTCTGTTCGACCCTGAGCTGTCCTTTCTTCCTCATATCCGCGCCACAACTGGCACCGGCTTCCATCACCTCCGAAACATCGCCAGACTATGGCACTACCTCACCTCTCACGCTGCTGAAGCTCTGGTCCACGCCTTTATCACCTCAAGGCTGGACTATGGGAACTCTCTCCTCGCCGGCCTTCCCGGCACCTCCCTCCACAAGCTGCAGGTCATTCAGAACTCTGCAGCTCGTGTACTGTCCCGCACCAGGCTTTGGGAACACATCACTCCCACCCTCGCTCGCCTCCACTGGCTCCCCATCCCCCAGATGATCGAATTCAAGATCCTCATCCTCACCTACAAGGCCATTCACGGCCTCGCTCCCTCCTACCTCTCCAACCTACTATCCCCCTATACCTGCTCGTACCCTCCGTTCCTCTGGCTCTGGTCTGTTCCACATCCCCCGTCCCAACCGTCCTACCATCGGTGGCCGGACCTTCAGCCTCTCAGCCCCGAGGCTCTGGAACTCCATCCCCCAGTGCCTTCGCCGCTTCCTTCCTTTCCTCCTTCAAGGCCGGTCTCAAGACCTTTCTCTTTGCCCGTGCCTTCAGCTCCCCTCTCGACTCTCTACCCCCTCCTCGCTCCTGCCCTCCCCTCACCCTGACCATTTCCCCCTGCTCGGGTCCTGATCCAACTGTACAGCGCCTTGGGACGTCCTCCCGACATGAAAGGCGCTCTATAAATGGAATCTTGTTGTTGTTCTTGTTGAGGCTAAGGAGGGGGCGAGGCGGAGTGATTGGGGGATGGAATTCTAGAGGTTGGGGGCAGCGTGGCTGAAGGCTTTCCCGCCAATGGTGGGGCGGATGGGTCGGGGGACGTGGAGCAGGCCAGAGCCGGCTGAGCAGAGGGAACGGGCGGGTTGGTAGGGGATTAGGGTGTTAGGTAGGGTGGGAAAATGCATGGTTAGTGAATCGTTGAGCAATTGCCTATCTTTATATTGTAACATTGTCCTCAACAACAAAACAGAGTCAGGTTTGAATTCTGTCAGTTGAAGTTCTACACTTGGCCTTCTGAGTTAGTGAGGAAAAGTCACCACTCCTGATCATAATCCACTGACTTGCCAACCGCCCCCCCCACCACCCCCCCCAACCATCTCGAAATCCACTCTGCTGGAGTCAAATCGACTCACCATAGAAGCTTACACATGAAGAATGACTGCTTCGGTGACGTGCTGCGGAATGTGATCAGCACTCGTGGGACTAACCTAACCAGAGCTCAACACCTGTAAGAGAAAACTGGATTGGAGCAAATTGTTAAAGAAAAATTGGCAAAGGGCAAAATTGTACATGAATTTCTGACTCAATATGTAGTATTGCTCAAACTGTAGAGTCCATACAGCTGAAACCATAAGACAGTCAGGAGGAGTTAGCCTTGGAAGTGATTTGCACTGAGCAGCAGCAATTGATAATGCAGTGAAGGTAACCAAATGGACAAAGACGCAGGAAATTCTGGAACACTGAAACCTCTCTCACATAGCATCATTAATATTTAATCAATTTTTGGTCCCTTACCGCTACTTTGGCTGAGATCAGCTAATTTAATACAACCAGAATTAATATATTTTGGAAAGCTGTGCTGAATGGTTGATACACAAACTTGTACTTTATTAGACGATAAAATAGCTGATGTTGTATCTGCGGCAACAGGGATTCATTTATTGTTTGTCAGCAACTCAAGACAGATTGTTCACATTATTCCTCCTTGTCTCCACTTCCAGATAATGGTTATCAACATTGTGTCCGGTACTTCATCCTCCTTTGCTGCAGTATGTGGTGTCTTATGAGACTAGAGCTGATAACTGCTTTGCTTGCAAGTGATGCATTATTGCACATGACCTATACTTCTCCCAGCGAATCTCATGGGAAGGTCAGTTTCCTACATTGTTTTTTGTTTTTAAATAAACATGCAGCACCATAAAGCTATGTTTCTGCCAAGTGCATTGTTTTATATTATGACCTATACAAGCAATTTATATCACTTCCACACATAAAGCTTCAAGGTTTAGAGTTGCTGGAGCCTTCACTTTTCTCAATTTTTTTTCAAGCACAGCATATACTGTATTCTGGTATGTTTTATGAGTTCTGGGACCATGGAACTATAACACCAAAGGAAGCAGTCAAAGACTTACGAGGATTAAGTTTGCCAGTAAATTTATCGCCCTTGCTGGGTTGAGTTCATAATGTTCCTATTATAAGTTTGCTTTGCCGAGGTAGGTAAATTTCATTAAAATTTTATTTTAATTTAATTAGAACACTGTGCTTTGATGTTGGGGACTTGTGTTTCAGTTCAGCCCAGACTGGTTGAGGAGAAGATCTCTCTTCTCTTCTAGCTGTAAAATTTCTATATCAGATGAGCTAGAGCCAATCTCATTCCATCTCTTAGCTAGCGTAAAGCCGCAGTGACTTTCTGCTGTGAAATTTCACAATCTTACTCAGACGGGCCACATTGAACACTTGTTGACAAGTGGAGAATAACATGTCGCTCAGAAGATACACAGTCAATCACTTTACAGTATATCCTGCAAAGTGCTTTGAGATGTCTGAATGATGTGAAAGACGCTATATCAAATGCAAGGATTATTATTATTATGTATTCATTCCGAAGGTCATTGAATAAGACATCAAATGGACAATAACCTCTCATGATTAGAGGGTGTATGTCCGATTTACTCCTTGTTGCACCAGGAAGAAAAGTACAGTGCCAAATGGCTTTTCTTGCTCATTGTTTTCCTATGATTTTGTGGTATACATTACAGAGACATGTTTTTCACAAATCTGTAAAGCATATGATTTGAATGAGTACTAAATGAGTCTGCACAGCAGAGTAATGGGTTAGAGCTTCAACATAGTGGGAGGCTACAACGTAAGAGTCCCAAACTGAATTTGCAAAGGATCGTGAATATGAAATCTTGCCAGGAACTGGGTATGCATTACACTGACCCTGTGGGAACTCTGCTCCTATGAGATCTTCTGAACACAGAA